CACACTCCTGTGGGATGGTTCGGAGGGCGAACATGAGAGTGCTCGAATCTGCACAACGTTTGATCTTAAGCATCTGCTTGCTTACTGTTTACAGCCTTTTAACTTATCGTATTTTCTCCACGACAACCGAAAGCCGCATCACAATGACTTCCGCTGACAACGGCGTCGCGCTGAAGCTGTGCTCACGGTCGGTGACGTTGCCCTTCACCATCTCCCACTCGGCTTCGCTCTCGATGTTGATGCTGTCCATACAGTAGCGCCGGCAGAGGTTCCTGGCATCCAGCCAGTCGTACCGCTTGCCGACCAGCTCGCCCGACTCCGGGTCGGTCTCCTGGAACTCGGCCTCATCGGCCGAATAGAAGTACCAGTTTCTCCCCAGCTTCCAGTGCTTGGGACCTGCGGGTCGACGGCGGAGTTTGGAACGGAGCTTTCCCAGCGGAGCGGTAACCCCACCCTCCGCCGCCGCGGAGGGTGGGGTTACCGCAGCTGTGGGGTGTGGGCTCTAACCGCGGCCACATGCGGACTTTCTGGCCATTAACGACTTTTGAATCCCCGCGACTGCAAAACGTGGTCTAAAATGGTAGCCGCCGCTGACTGTGTTTTTGCGGGTAATTAGAATGCTCAGAAATCCTTGCCGTCAAAATTGGAAAAATGGGTGATTTTCGTGCGGGCCATGGAAACGGAACCACTAACAGCGGTCGCCCCGTGCGATATAGCTCGTTTTAGTTGAGCCACTGCATCCTTGAGAAGGTTGTCATATCAAAATATCTCACCTAGACACTTTTTGAAACTGTAGCTTATCTAAGTGTATTAACTCAACAAGAATATCTGCAGACTTTCCATTGTGTACTACGCCGCCTCACGGGGTCTGTGTCGAAGATGACATTCTCCATAGAGTCTCTGAGTACCTTATTTCAGTAAAATCAGAAGCATCATATCTATGATTAAAATAAAACCATAGCTTTTCTAGTTATAACAAAACAGCAGTTCTGTACATTTCCACCTCCTTATCAAACCATGCACGCCAATTACCTGGCAAGTGAAATGAAATCGATTTTTTTCAATATAAAGCCAGTCGTCGTGTTCTAAGATGTGGGCGTCGCCTGCCAGGCGGCCCATGTCACCATTAGTGTACAGCCTGGCGCCGAAGCCTCGCCCCAACCGTCTGATGGCTGTGTGGTGCGAGCCTCCTGCCAAGTCTAGCTCCGAGCGCATCGGCGCCGAGCCGAGCAGTAGCGAAGCAAGCGCGCGGGATGGTGCCGAGTGTTTCTCTATGTGCCCCGCCGGCTCAGGCGGCGTGTAGCGGCGCGCGGCACTTTCACTGTCCGTCCCAATGCCACTGTGGGCAAACAACTTTTACTCCGGTGTGGCGCGGCGATGGTGGCGCCGTTAGCCTGAACTTGACCGGCCGAGCTCCGGGGATTACGAGACGGCCAGGGACGCTGCGCCTGGCAGCAGATGTGGAGACTGGGAGCGTGGCCAGAGCAACAGCGAGGGAGGGGATAGATGAGAGAGAGAGAGAGAGAGAGAGAGAGAGAGAGAGAGAGAGAGAGAGAGAGAGAGAGAGAGAGAGAGGAGAGAGAGAGAGAGAGAGGAGGGGGGGGGGGGGGGGATGGGAGGGAAGCAGAGAGAGTGAGAGAGAGAGAGAGAGGCAGAGGAGGAGGAGCGGAGAATAGTTCCCAAAATAAATGAGATAATAAGTGGCAGGCATATGACAGCATATGTTTGTGAAATGCTAAATGGAAGGAAACATTATATCAACGTAGCCAAACATTGTTCCCAGAACCGCAAAATTATACGTAAGACGTGGAGTGCAGCTAGTATGTGCATTGAAATCGAGCTATATTCCGGTGGTGGGGATACAGCAGTAAGCTATAGGCCCGAGCCAATGTGATTCGGACTGGGAACACGAGAATGGGCAATGGGCTCTGAGTGGCAATGAGTGGCAATGGGCTCTCGTGAAGCGATAAGTGACTCCAGCGCCGCAGAGAGCGACAGCGCAGTACCTACCCGAAAATATTGGCAACTGTGATGAAAGCTACCATCAAAAGAAAAGTAGACGTCGCAGACACCTTATGGCCTGATGTAATGCGCCGTATTGTCTGAAGTGGCGCGGACAGTTGGCTCCGACAAGGTTTGGAGCGAAGCCCAAATTATGTAGCTTGACTTCAGTTCAATGGCAGAGCTGAAAACGCGACGCTTACCGTAAATTGTGAGCAGATCTGTTGAATGGAGTGTTTCCTTTAAGACCTGAAGGTGATTTGGCATGGTTTTCACTTTGTAAGTGGTTTTGAGAGCAGGGAGCTTTGTAGATGCAAAGGCCGTGTTTGTCTCGTATTTTATGGATGTGCATGAGAAGAAAACATGTCAAGTCTCGAAGAAAAATCAACTAACTGAGCATCTGACTTGGTGACCGAAGAGGTAATAATAAGAAAATTAAGATCACCTAAACCAGCAGCGGGATGATACTTTTACAACACATAACATCAGCGAATGCCCTTCTTTTTATCTATTGATGAGCTTTTATTGTTTATGTATTGAAGTTTTTTGGCTAATGTATTTCTGGATAATGTATCATTCGATTCAATATTCTGGCGAAATGTGTTGCCTTTCTGAATAATTTTTAGCAACACGCCTGCATATCACAGTAAGAAATGCTTACATGGAATCCGTGATGTTTCAACTTTCACCGATTGACGGAGTTTCACAGCGTAGATTAGGCCTTTGGGTTTGCTTCTTCCGTATCCGACAGTTTTAATCACATTGGTTTTGGACATAGCGCTTATGTCGCCAACCCAACCCACCTTACGAAAACCAGGGTAATATTTTGCTGTTTCACCGTGCTGTCTGCAATGGAACCGAACATATTTAGATATTTGTTTCGTCAGTGACCTGGCATCAGACTCCCCTAGCAGTGGATGTGTATACCCCACCAGCACGTGCTTGGTGGCATGACGAAACTGGACCATTGTAGCATACTCATCTTAATTCCCTATAAGCTTGCTGCTAAGGTGTTGATCTAATCCCGCCTCATATTTCGATTCACATGGTTGTATATATATATATATATATATATATATATATATATATATATATATATATCCCGTAATCTAGCCATCGGGCTAAGTGGACAGTGACGTCTACTCTGACCTCGAACGTCATCAGCTGCCACGTCTCAAGGCTTCTGAAGCACGGGACCTTTCGGCTGGGGAGCATTTTTGGCTTGAAATATCTAGACGATGTTACGGCAAAGCGTCGCAACCTTGCAGGAAGCTGGGATCACACATCAGAAGGGTGATGCGATCAATGCTGAACTTAAAAAAAAGATACATCGCAATTCACTCGCGCCCCAAATCTCAGGTCGCTTCTCAAACGACGGAAAGCCAACGGAACGCAACCACCCACTGCCTTACCTGAAAAGAAGCCGCTGGTGCCAGGCGGTCATCTTCAAACCCCTGGCGCAATATGAGAGTGAGGCATCTGCGCCCCCGTAGCTACAATATTGTGGAAAATCGAAAGCCGGGTCTTCTTGTAGCATAACGTACAAAATGTTCAAAGTACTGTGAATGCCGACTTTCGGTCATGAGCAGTACCAAGCTCTGAGAGTTCAAATTTTTGGCAAGACATTGGCACAGGGTACCGGTTCATGAGAACCGAGACACAGTGTGCAGCACGCCAATTGTCTGCTCCAGAAAAGTAGAAAAAAGGGTATCACCCGTTTCCTAATACCATTTTTCTCGCTCACAGCACCGCCCCATTCTCCGCCATCGCGTCGTGTGCCTCTCGCCCTTGCCGCACGTTCTCCGCCATCGCAGGCCCAACGGGCGGTAGGCACGGCATGCTCTGCTCCACAGACGCCAGTGAACAGCGCAAGCGCCGGCTGCCTGTCGTGGTCCGCTCCGACCCAAGGCCGCTGGGAGTCCCGGCGACAGCCCAGCGCCGGTCCCCGTCACGAATCGCATTAGCTGCTCGCCGCCGCCGCTTGCGGTGGTGCTGTGCACACGACCTGTGCACGGCATCGGTGCTGTGCACAGCAGTGCAGCCGCCGGCGAGAGGCGAGAGCGGGGAGAGGGGGGGGGGGGGAGCTGGACGGTACAGCCGCTGGCGGGAGGCAAGTGCAGAGAGGGCGGGCTGGACGGTGCAGCCGCCGGTGGGAGGCGAGTTCAGGGAGGGCGGGCTGGACGGTGCAGCCGCTGGCGGGAGGCAAGTGCAGAGAGGGCGGGCTGGACGGTACAGCCGCCGGTGGGAGGCGAGTTCAGGGAGGGCGGGCTGGACGGTGCAGCCGCCGGCGGGAGGCGAGTGGAGGGAGGGCGGGCTGGACGGTGCAGCCGCCGGTGGGAGGCGAGTTCAGGGAGGGCGGGCTGGACGGTGCAGCCGCTGGCGGGAGGCAAGTGCAGAGAGGGCGGGCTGGACGGTTGCAGCCGCCGGTGGGAGGCGAGTTCAGGGAGGGCGGGCTGGACGGTGCAGCCGCTGGCGGGAGGCGAGTGGAGGGAGGGCGGGCTGGACGGTGCAGCCGCCGGTGGGAGGCGAGTTCAGGGAGGGCGGGCTGGACGGTGCAGCCGCTGGCGGGAGGCAAGTGCAGAGAGGGCGGGCTGGACGGTGCAGCCGCCGGTGGGAGGCGAGTTCAGGGAGGGCGGGCTGGACGGTGCAGCCGCTGGCGGGAGGCGAGTGGAGGGAGGGCGGGCTGGACGGTGCAGCCGCCGGTGGGAGGCGAGTTCAGGGAGGGCGGGCTGGACGGTGCCGCCGCTGGCGGGAGGCGAGCGTGAGGAGGGCGGGCTGGACGGTACAGCCGCCGGTGGGAGGCGAGTGCAGGGAGGGCGGGTTGGACAGTGCAGCCGCCGGCGGGAGGCGAGCGCGGAGAGGGCGGGCTGTGCAGGTCGGTCACCAGCCCGTGCATTTAAGACACGTTGCGGTGGTCAACCGTTTGACAGCTTGACCGGGCGGGCTCGTGGCAATGTGTGTCATGCATGGCGACCCCCAGTTTGGGCGGCGGTGGGATCTGTCGTGCAGTTAGGATCGCACGGTGGTTGCAATAAATTGGCTATTGAGTACATGACTGATAAGTTGGAAAACTCCACGTAATTGTGAACACGACTTTGCATCATTTACAATGTCCGCTGGGCCTCGTAGCGAGGGATTGCTGAAAGAGAAATGTGATATTCAAATGTTTACCATAATCCTTACAGATTGGGCTGCTCAAAACTATTAATCGGATAACAATCGAAGGATCGCGTCCTTGGCGGCACCAAACATGGCTTATAGCCTGATAGATGCAAATCTATACTCATTCGGTGGCCGATGTCAGTGCATTTGTAGGAAGCCAGGACGTACCAGGCATTCCTGCAAATGATTCCTACAGATGCCGTAAAGGTCGCAGGCAACCAATGTCGGTATATCACAGACCAGACATAGCCGATATGCCGCCCTATTAGGCCTCGCCACTCGAGATTGGCGCCAGGTATGCCCGAGATGCACAGGGGGAAACCGAAAGGGGAGGGGGGGGGGGCGTATTGGCCGAGTGGTCGGCGCTTCGGGCTCCCACATGGGCCATGGCGCAACCAGGACTCGACCCCAGGCCTCCACGGGAATATAATCTAATACAGTCGCTAGCACTCCATAAAACGGGCGTGACGACGTGCATTGCGTTCCCTTTTTAAGAAAAAAAGGATATCAAGAAAGGGCACTGACAATAAGGATTGCGCTGCGCCTATTTGTGCAAACGCACAACACAGCTGGACTATCGATAGCGAAATACGAGATAACACAGTAGTAATAGCCTTATTCCTCCGTGGAAAACCAGTAGAATGGAGATATAGTTGGGTATTGTTGCTTTTGTTTCGATAAACGTACCTTGCCGAAAAAATCACCTCTGCTATTGTTTCGATAGATGCATGTTGCCGAAATATCAACCTATCTATATGTTCATTCTCCCAGTTTTCTCCGAGGAATAAGGCTATTACTACCATCTTATTTACGTGGATAATGCCCCTCGCCAATGCACTGATCAACTTGAGAAATACGAAAGGCCACTGTTGGTGCAAGTAAGCCTGTGCTGGGAAGCGTGCGCAAAGGACCGCGCACGCAATGAACAATCCTTTTAGGGGAAGATATCGTTGACTTACGTTAGTTCCATTGCTGCGTATCGCCTCATCGCCAGGAAATGCGCACAAGGGCAGTGATATTGTGCGGTGTACAAACGGCGGCTGAATGGCAGGCCGAGAGGGAATAGGTGCCGACTTCGTCCGCCACGCGCGCTCCTCCCCCCTCCCCCCCCCCCGCGTCACGGTACTCACGCGTAGCGCATTTCTCCGGGATGGGGGGCACCAGCAGGGTGCCCTCACTGGTCTTGGTAGCCGGGGTGGTTGTGGTGCTGGTTGTGGTGGTGGTGGTAGTGCGCCGACCGAACCGGTCCGTCGAGGTTTGCGGGAACTGGACCCTCTGCTGCCTGCAACACGCAGCACACGTCATAGAAATGCACGAGACTTCTTCAGATGGCATCAGCCACTTCGCCATATGGTTTCTTTCCATGCCTCATGCATGCCAGCTGCAGCTGGACGTAAGCTAAAAGAGGTAGGAAATGCACTTCTCTGAGAAATGTATGCGTGAAATAATGCAGTCATAGGTCTAGGCCGGTTTCTATGCTTAGTCAGTGGTTTTTAGACAGCTAGAACCATTTGTGGTGTGGTTAGACAGTACTTGAGGCATTTGAAGCTGCTAACAGACATAAAACTCCTTTAATTCCGTGGCCCACAACACCCACCGCACCTTAATCCGATATTTAAGAGTTAAAGAATGGCGACATGTGCCGGTTGACATTGACATCGCCAGGACCAGCACGTGACTCGAACGGGATCCATCGCTAGCCGGGCCCCGCCACTTCGACAAATCTGGTCGCCCGCCTTCGTCTTGGCGCTGAACGTTAATCTTCAAATGTCTTTACAGTAACCAATCGGGTATGTCGTTGGCGTTAGTTGGCGATCGGTGGGTTCCCCAGAGCTGGGATAACATGGACCGCGGGCCTTGCATCCGAGACGTGGCATGAGAAACGCCAGCTAATGAACTAGTGATGCCCGTATTTTGAGCAACTTTTAAACTCTTCCAGACCGATAGCAAGTTTCATGTCGGTATTATGACCAAAACTGACCGGTTTGGTTGAGTGTTCAGAAAATTGCCGTAATTGTGAAACGCTCGACAGTGGTTATTGCACTTGCACGTTTTCCATGTATATGACAATGGCGTCCTTTCAAATGGTTCTTTCCTTTGCTTTTTTCCATCGGTTCTACGTGTTTAACTGACAAGTGGTCTTGAAAGGTAACATATTCGAGATTTTACTGCATTTGGGGGGCATGATACGTACTGTCTCGTCATGTTTTCATATCTGTCAAAAAGCCAAGAGTCATTTACTCTTGGAATTGCAGCCAGTGAAGTGTAAAACTGTTTAGTTGGAGTACAAACTTGACGCATTATTACTCATTTGGGGCGATGTTTGAAAATATGTGATCTATCAAATTGCCTTAAACACTTAGCCGGTTCAGAAAAAACGACATGTTTTCCACGACCGACCAAAGAACCTATCAGCTTGAATCGGTTTGCGATCTTTTAAAACGCGACTGATGTCACTGGTACTCACTGTCTCGGGCGGAGCCTGGACTGACTGGCAGCCACCGCCACCAGGGCGGCGACCAAACACAACCTGAGCAGCATCACCTGCAAACAACAGCGGTCGTGAAGTCGTCGTCCCAGAGAACACACCATTCCCTGGAGCTGAAACGCTGGGCTAGCCTGCACGATAGAAAGAACGTGGGGACGGACTGGGCGGAAAAGGCTTTAGAATTCGATTTTTATTTGTACCACTTTGTATTAATGTTTAACCCGTACAAAAAGGGAACAGCGCCGCGGCCAATGCACTGTATTCATCACCACACTCATGCTGAAACGGTTGTTCTCAGGGTTGTACATAATGGGCTTTGCTCTGGCCGAAGTGCATTCGAAATTTTCTTAGCACCGCTGTAAAAAAAAAACAAAACATATTCAGCCATTTCGTGTCGCCTTTAACTGCGCTCGCCGGTGGCGTCGCAGTCTCTCACAGCGACTGCAGCGACCTGAAAACCGCGGCAACCGCTGGCAGAGTGCCTCCAATCCTAATGCGCCCAGCCAGGTGTCTGGCTGTCAGCCCTCAGGGATCTGAAGACGCTGTAGACGTCGGCGTTTGCTCTGGCATCCAAATACACTGGCAACGTGTAACAGCTGCCGCCTTGCTAGGCCGCGAAAGCTCTCGGATTGCTGAAGTTACGATGCTCATCATCTTCACCTTGGATCACGGCATTCTCGACGGGTGACCACGGCCTTAGCCGGCCGCAGCCACGTATCAGATGGTCCGAAGGGCGACTGGTGAACCATCTGCTGATTTGGGGATGAGGCAACGGCTGGTCAAACGCTGATTGCAATCCGCCGCCTCCAAGGCCGGGGTGCAGACGGGCGGTGGCCGGCGCGAGCCGCCGTGAAAGGTAACGCGCCGTGGTTTCATCACGCCCTGGTCATTAGTCTGCGCTTCTCAGAGGCGCGGCTGCCGCGGGCACGGAATCAGGTCAACGCGCGGGTCTTCCTCCGTCGGCGCCGGCGTCGTGTTTCTCAACAGGGGACCACGAGCCGGCCGAGGGGACCTCGCCGCCCTGTTTCGTCACTTCATTTCTTCATTCACCTTGGAGTGAGGTGTGACGACCATGCCGTCTTAGCCCTTGGTAGCGTTGATCCATTTCTTGGCAGCGCCCGCGGCCAGTGACAGGCCGGGCCTCTGAGGCCACGTGGTCGCGTGCGCACGACGTGCGCCGGACGGAATTTTCCTGGGGTGCACATGACGCTGGTGGTGCATACTGCTGCCGTATTTTCCGCTGCGACTTCGACCGCACGCCCGTGAATAGCCGGCGCTCTTTTCCTGATCTTTGAGCCAGGTGCAGAAGGTTTTCATTATAATAAGAATAGGACAGAGCCCACATCTCGGCAGGCCACTAATCAGACAACCCCATCCATAGCATGTCTAAAAATACGCCACAAGAATGCCTCATAGAAAAGCCCAGTTATTTGGTAGCTTGCGAGCGATGTGACGGAATAGTGTTCTGACGACAGTTGCTAAGCAACCGTCGTCCAATTATTTTTTGGTAGCTAGCGAGCGATGTGAAGGGTTAGAGTTCTGATGACGGTTGCTGGGCAACCCTCAGACAGCGTTCAGACCGATGAGCTTTATGATTTAAGTGCATGTACCGGATGACGAGCGCAGTCTCGAGCCAATCGGAGCCATCTATCAATAGCTTTGCGTGGTAGCCCGTTTTCTGGTTCTTTGACCAAGTCGAGGGCGACACATTTCCCAAGCAGTCCCAACGCCACAATCTTATTAAATACCGAGTAAACGCCAGCCGGCTCACGACTGCTTGCCCTTGAACACGTGCCATCGCCGGCCGGCATCAGCTCGTCAATCTTCTCTGAACACGGCCTGTATCCGGGTCGTGACAAGTACCGCCATCCGGAGGGGCCTCGCTCTGGCTCCAGGCGACTCACACAATTTGGCTCAGGTGCGGGCCATTAACCGGCGCCGATTATCCGTGCTCCAGCCACGCCGGCCAGCGATGCCCGATCTTTATGATGCAGTTCCGTAAACAGCGCTGCCACGACCGCTGCCCCAAGGCCAGCGGTGCCCCACGCCAGTCTGTGACGTCAGAGCGTTGCTGGACGGTCGCCGCTGCAATGGCCGAGACTCTTCGCCAGGTGAAACAAAGAAAGCCACCGCGTGGAGACGTGCAGGCTCCTCGCGATCTGAGTACTGGATCTGTTCGCAGGAATGCCGCATGCCAGCCAGCAGACCGTTGCTGGTATCAAAGAAGCCAAACCGAATAAGCCGTCTTGGCATTCGCGGATGAGCGGCAGCGAAAGAAGCGGCTCTAACAACGGCGTCATCCGCCGCAGCAGTGGCTGGGACGCACGAGAAGCCAGTACGCGTGACGTTACACAATCCTAATGGACGGTTACGTTTCTATGCGGCTTTCAAGTCGCTCCGTTCACGCGGCGCCTGAGTTCGTTTTGTGTGGGGGTCTGTGGTTTGGTAAAGCTATTGGTTATAGCGGTGGGGTTATTGTGCTTCAACAGTTGTCGTGATGTATTTGTTTTGGGTGACTGGTGACCGTGGCGTTACATTATGAGTAATTTCTTCTGAGAAGAAAAGCTGGCACTAAAATTCAGATTTGCCTTGCGGTGTGCATCGACGATGGAGTGGGTTAAGCGGTAGCACTTAAGCAAAAACAACGTCAGTTGTTTGGGACACCCATAATCTGTGACTCTGCCTGCAACGTAATTGAAAAATGTGCCGAGTGATGAGTGCGCTTAGTGATTAGTATTCAACGACGATGAAGGAGCATAACTAGATTGTACGGGTCACAAGCAGTATGCCACATGAAGCATCGTTTCAAAACGTTTTCTCACGAATACGTGGGTAGCGCGACTCTTACTCAGCAAGGCTGTTCACTTACTTAGCCAAGTCCTCAAAATGAGCAGAGGAATAAGGTTTAACGAACGAATGAAAATGCAAATGAAGCCGGGCAGATTAAATAAAACGTTGAAAAGCAGGAGCCAGCACAATGCCTTCCAATATGACGTACTTCAACAAGGCGGCCAGTTCCAAGATAAAGCATCGATATTAAGCGCGGTGTCACCCTAAAAGCCTACACTGCACAGCAATCGCATGATATTAGCAGCATCTCAGTTACTTCCATCACACAAAAGCTGCATTTAACGCCGGACGAAGCGTTCAGGTTTAGATCAGTCTGCTCTCACTCAGCGCCCATAGACGAGACAATCTCCCAGTAATAGAACCCATTTAGTGCCTTTTTGGCAGTGGCAGACAAAACTAGCAGTGGTACTCGATAATGATAGCATGGTTTTGTACCATTCTTGCCACAGGCCGGAGGGGGGAAACTGACACGACCTGGTCAGGGGTGCGATGGTCAGAAGTGGAGTGATGAGTTTTTGTGGGAGCGTGATGGCATGTAATACACTGTTATTGGATAACACAGCAGCGCAAAATGGTGCACCCCGAACAGAAGGCGACAAACGTTGACAAAAACTCGCTTAATACATTTAAGTATTTGAAATGAAACAAGACAGGCGTCGGAGGATAGAACTGAGCTGCGCCTCTGCGCTCCCTCCGCCCACCGCCCGTGCCCGTGCGCCTCGGACGGGCGCTCCTCGCGCTCCCGGCCAAGTGCCGCTTACCTCCGATTGGAATCACGCCGCAGGACCAACTAGCACCGGCCGGCGGGCGCGCGCTTCATAAATACAGCAGCGCCAGGCCACTTTTACGCGCGTGGCTGGGCGAATCACCCGGCTCGAGCGCAAGGTCGCTGCACGGACCTGGACGCCCGGGGCGCTCCGCCGGCCGGCGGCGAACCCGCCGACGCGGGCCTCTCTTCCTGTCGCAGAATTCGCGCAGTGGCCTTCCCGGCTATTTTTCCAGGCTGCGCACGGTGTTTGCAGGCGAGTTTGGCGGCGCCGCGTCCGTGTTTGAATTGGGGTTACTTCCCGCGATGGTGCGACCTCACCATGCCTCGCGATTCTCGAGTCGGCACGACTTGTCAAAGCGGAAGGGCATAGCCGGCCTGGCTGAGAGATGTGAGAAGAACGCCGTGCTTGCGAGTGTTGTCGTGGAACGGCTGCTGCTCTCGGTGCTCGCAACTTCAGTTAGCGTAGTGTGTTTTGTAGCGCTCATCATCAGGTGTAATGCCATCGAGCAGCTTGTGATAAAAGAGGCCATGTGCCAGCGCTAGTCAGAATGGCTGGAGTGCATGTCTTGAACGAGCCTTAACATCGCATACTGAAGGGCAAAGCGCAATATAGCATGGAGACGGTCACATCTTCAACCATGCGTCCGAAATATTTTGATATCCCGTGAATCTCTTACATCAGTGAAGCATCCTAATGGATTTCGAATCTTAGTGAGCAAGCTGGAAGTCGGTGCCGGACACAGGTATAATGGCCTGCAAACAATGTAGTGAGGTGGCACCAAATCTGGCCAGTGTCTTAACCGGTACTGTTTAGGGTCAGGTCTACAGATTTACGTCAAAGAAACATTGCTGCATCATCTACCACTAACATAATCAGCCTCGATTTGCTGGCGGTGGAGTAAGAGTCTTCCCGAATGTTTGGGCTAAATTCCATGGACCATGACAGGCAGCAAAAACCACACTATTTCCCTCTGAACGTGACATAGCATAAATTAATGACCATGGTGGATCAATTGGTGAGATGCTTGTGTAGATGTTCACGAGGCTAAGGACTGAAAAGGTCCTTACAGGCTGTGAAAACCGTTCAGTGAAATAAACAAAAATGACTGTGCATTTACCATGCTGGCGACCATGACCACAAATTGAGATGAAGACAGGCTTATTGTTTTTTTGCAGGCTTTTTGTTAGACATCGTGTGCTTTTGGGGCACTTATCATTTGAAATGTGAGGTCAAAACGCTTTTTCTAGCACTGCAATACGCTGCGTTATAGCTAGTATGCCAGCGTTATGCACCGGCCAAGTAAGCCAGTGGTTGGCTCCGAGCGTTCGTTTTGTAACTGAATGCCTCCTTCTCACCCTAGTTCCTTTTTCAACCTATCAGCGTTGTAACTTAAAACAATCTGATCATGTCACGTCTGGCCAAATTAGATAAAAAATCAGCTGTAATGTGTCCGTGCGCAAAGTTCATAACGGAGTAGCAAGCGTGGATGTTTGACTACTCCATTACGAGGTCATTTGAGCACTGACCTGTCCGCAAATCCCATCTGAGAAGCTTTGTTAACAAATCCTGGGCACTCCATACGACATTACATAACGTTGTTACGTACTTTTGGACACTATTCATTGACATTAAGACGGTGCACTCCGCCTCCCTGTCATCGATTCCCGTCCCAGCACCTGTAGTCAAGAAATGCGAGAATCCATGCTTATTTTGTGATGCTCATTGCCCATTGGATCAATATCTGATATGTGTAGCGAGAAAGACTGGCACGTTTCTAGCAAAAAATGGAGGTAGCAAGAAGCTACAATACATCAGCAAAATCCACCAAGGCTGTGGTCGGTCATATTTGCTTCGCAGAAATGTGAGTGTTCACATCGATGGGGTAGAAATCAGCGCATAACAGCCTTCAGCGCGATGAGATAAGGTTCGCAGAAGGGAAGATTTAGCTGGCCTTTGCGGCCCCATCATCATTTCCGTTTGTTTGTCTGCGCTGGGTGAAACCCCAAAACAGCCTTCCGTTGGTTGGAAATCCCACCTTTCGTAAGGTCTAAATATGGGAGGGAAGACCATCTAAACAATGGTATGTGAATGGTCAGACTCATATTGCACTACATATTGAAGTATTCTTGTGCATCTCAGCTACACCAACATCACTATCGACCTATCTTTGTTTATGACCACTGCGACTGGCGCATAAAGATCCCTTGTGACCAAGCAACATCGACGGCCTTGTCTGTACCGATACCCGCACCTTCTGCGTGTGCATTAAGCTCGGCTAGCCTTGGACTAACATCGATGACACGCAAGAGCACAGATGGGCAGTTTCAGTCAGCAGCTCAAGGGCGCCGCCACAACTTTTTATCGCAGGGTTAATAGCTACTGACATGTGGAGGTTTCGACGGAAAAATCCCACCAGCGTTGGCTGCTACCTCTGCTGGCTATCGGCGTTAAACCGTTGGCTGCTGACTTGCAGTGGGTCGCGTATGACGGCATTAAGGCTTGCATCCGAGCTGCCAACTCATTTGCTGCGCGTTCAGCTCGGATCGCCAGCAAAGAACGGGAAGGGGGTTAAAAACGAGAAAACGTAGCCCTGTATATATATATATATATATATATATATATATATATATATATATATATATATATATGGTGCATCGTTCCCGGGGCAACTGAACAAACAAGCCCCCAAATGAGTATCGGTGGCCACTGGTTCTGACAAACCGTGTCAAATAGATCGTGAACAGGCGATATTAGTCAATCGAGTGAGACATTCGATTCCATATTCGTTTTCATGGCTCGTCGATCGGTGTGTGAGAGTGTCTGACGTCATCTCAGTACCAGGCGATCCCTTGCACCCTGATAAGACCCCTGAAGGCAGGCCTGATGGACCTTGATGCAACTTTAGGGGGTGGCTGTAAGCCAGGCTCATTGATGTTTGAGCTTTCGGATTTAGCCCGTCCCAAATCACAGGCGTTCGTGGTGTGAAGAGATGCACACTTGCAGTCCGTGGTTTCAGAAACACGAAGTTTCGCCCCTGTCGGGACGTCGCTGATGGCGACTCAGATAGCGGAGGGTCATGGAGCGGACCACTCCCACCGGGCGACACGAAATCAGAGCACCTCGGCGCGCGGCGCGCCCGCAGCGCCCCGTCTCTAGTCTCTGCGCCCACGTCTGCTCAAGGCTGCGCCGCCCGAGTGTTGCCGCCGACCGTTTGGCAGCGGCCCAGCGGGGTCGCGGTCGTGGAGCCGGCGCCCGGCTGGCGGCGGCTGACCCGGCCGCTCTGTACAGACATCGGGGAGCCATCGGAGGGGCGCGACCGGGGGCCGCTGACCCCCGGGCGAGAGTGGCGCAGGGCCCGCAGCTCTGTCGACAGAGCGGCGCTGACCTTTACCCACCGTGGGACAGATGGCGATAACGGCCGGGGCCGGTTCTGGTGGCGAGTCAAGCTGGCCGTACCTTTACAGGCTGCGTTTCAAATTTGAGTAGTTTAATTGGTTAGAGGGTCTCTGATGTGATGTTAGTCGCAATAGCTAAGATGTGGATGATAAGTGATTTGTTCATGTTCGTTTTTCAAGCGCTGAAATGTGGCAACCTTTACAAAACTTTCGGGCTCAGCCTATCTGACTTATTAATAGCCTGTGGTTAAAAAAAACATGTTTTTTTGGCCATATTTTACCCCGAAAATACATGAATTGGCATTACTGCTGATTGTTTTATAATAAACAGCAAAGTAAAGGCTGCGTGTCAAGTGAGCTTTGCTTGAACTAAGATAAAATGTCAACTTGGGTGGTCTGGCCTATCTCGGTCCAGTCGTAGCGTCTTAAAGAGGATTTATCTTTCCACCTACTTGACAGCAGATTCACACAGGCTTTGATGGCAGAAGAGGAAATCTTTGAAAATTGATTGCACGTGCTACGAGAAATCTGTCCAAAAATATTGATCACGCTGGATTTGCCAACAGCTGCAACATCACATCCATTTCACGCTTCCATACTATTACATGACTTTAAACTTGCTGAATCGCATGAGAGGGTAAAGCTGCAGGCTAATGTCGGGAGGAGATCTCGACGACCACTAGCTTCTCCTGATGGAGGAGAAAACGGAAAACCGTGCTGGGAAATATGCCTCGATGCACGCACACTAGCACGCATCATCCTGCATAAACCATTCAGCTGCCTGGAATGGGGCGTTTTTAATCACCGATGTTAGATGCCAGCAATCACGGCCGATATACCCGCAACAGCAAACCAGTAACGCCCAAAACTGCCGACTCAAAGCGGCGCCAACCATTGACCGGGACACAGCCTGTGACACCCTTTCCAAAATGAGCTCGAAGACAGGACGCTACATCCTAAATCCAGGGATGTCCAGTCAAGACAAGCGCATAGGAGACCCAAAGTCGCCTTCGTTGCCACAAGTGCTCAACCGAAATGTTTCCGTTTTTTTGTAATGCTTCGGTCACAGTGGGTAAAACTGTTAGTCGCTGCAAATATTTCGATGTTGTCTTTGCATTCTCCATTCAGTGGCGTTAATCAATTCTCTATTCGACGTCGTCCGTTGTTGGCCAACCAGGCTCATACTCAGCACATTCAAGAAATGCAATTTGTGAAGTAGCGCAAATGCTGCATCAGTGGGCGCCGAAAATTCAGCTCTCATGATGGATTCTTTTCAACGCATGGATCAAAGCCACTAGTATCGATTGCCATGAGAGCCTGGTGCCATGAGGTTGGCTGTTGGGATAATTGATGCACACGACATCTAACCACGCCTCACATCTGCAATTGCTTTGCTTGCCCTACGTCGAACAAAGCCTGTTGCGGGTATTATGCGTTATGGCATGTGTGTGCTTGCGGATGGAACGAGGTTACAAGCTCACTCAATGTGAAACGTACGCAACGCATGGATGTATCCTTGCTTCGCCTGGAAATGACCCACGTAACAAGTTTCAAGGCCATTCACATCGGTGCTTTTTCGTGCGGTGCCCTCGTCCAAACATGCAGTCACCATACACACCGCAGCGAACGTCATCTGATGCAGC